ATCTATCTCTACCGATTGAACTTTATTGCAAATAATAATAAAGCCATCTCTTTAACAAAGAATCTATATCTAGGGGTCTGCAATTGTAAAGTGCAATAAAGCCCAATCTACAGAGATAATTCTAGATGTGGGGTTTGCAAAATCAAAAGTGCAATGAAGCCAGATTTTTCACAAGAGATGTAGATCTGGGGTTTGCAATAGGGAAGTGCAATAGAGCCAGATATTTGGAGATAATTCTAGATGTGAGGTTTTCAATAGGAAAGTGCAATAAAGCCGGATCTTTGGAGATAATTCTAGATCTGGGGTTTGCAATAGGGAAGTGCAATACAGCCGGATCTTTGGAGATAATTCTAGATGTGGGATTTGCAATGGGGAAGTGCAATAGAGCAGATGTTTGGAGATAATTATAGATCTGGGTTTTGGAATAGGGAAGTGCAATACAGCCAGATCTTTGGAGATAATTATAGATCAGGTGTTTGCAATGGGGAAGTGCAATAGAGCCAGATTTTTGGAGATAATTCTAGATCTGGGGCTTGCAATAGGGAAGTGCAATAAAGTCGGATCTTTGGAGATAATTCTAGATCTGGGGCTTGCAATAGGGAAGTGCAATAAAGCTGGATCTATAGGGATAATTGTGGATCTGGGGGTTTGCATTGGGAAAGTGCCATAAAGTCGGATCTTTAGGGATAATTCCGGATCTTGGGTTTGCATTGGGAAAGTACAATAAAGATGGATTTTTAAAGGTAATTCTGGATCTAGGGCTTGCAAAAGAAAAGTGCAATAAACCCGGGTCTTTAAATCTAGATCAGGGGGGGTTGCAATAGGAGAGTGCAGCAAAGCCTGATCTTTATCAGATCTAGTTCAGGTGTTTGCAAAAGGAAAGTGCAATAAAGCCAAGACTACAGAAATAATTCTAGATCAGGGGGTTGCAAAAGGAAAAGGAGGTGCATGCAATGACAAAACGAAAGGGCTGTGCATAGATCTATGACACATCAGTCCAGGTCAGTACAGGGGAGCCCCTGAGGGTGTGCATGGTTTTGCAGCACATGCATTGTGCAGAGTCCTGAGGACAGCAGAAGTGAGTGGAGGATGACTTTGCAGTGTCACCATCTCATGACCCCCCACCCCCCCCCCCCCCCCCCTCCACCCATCTACCATCAAAACAACCCCCCCCCACCCCCTCCAGAAAAGACAAGCACCCCCAGCCACTGACAAATCAAATACCTCGGTCTCTTCTCTCCAAATATTCAGCTGCCTCCAGAAGAATTAACAGAGAGTTCAACTCCATAGTTGAGTGTATATAAATAGATGTATATATAATATATATATAGATGTAAAACTAGATTATCTCTATTGATAAAAATAAAAACTCTTTCGGCTGGAAAAAAAAGGAAAAAAAATGAAAACAAGACGAAGTGGGACGAACTACAAGGAGTTCAGACGCTTTTTAGGGACTTCTTAGTCCATCTAAACGGCAGCACAGCTCCGATTGACACAGGGAGTGACGGGCGTGCGTTCCGGCCAATCACAGCACGAAGGCGGAGGGGAGGCGTGGTTTTCACTTTCTTGTTAGCGAATGGCGGACTCCAGCGTCATGCCAGGAGGGGCGGGACGCCGAAAGAGGGAGGAGAGTCCGAGAGAATGTTGACAGATCCCAATCAACTACTGAGGAGGGATGGTAACGATTGAGATGCCGAAGCTTAGCAACAGCGTGGAGAGCCACGCCCACTCGGAGGCCGATTGGAGAGATTTATGCATGTTAAGTAGGCGCTGGGCGCGGATTGGTCATGTAAAGTGCCCGTGACAGTGGGGATGCTAGCTGAGACAGCGGCCAATAGGCGACGTTGAACTTGACGTTGCTGTGAGGAAGAGAAAAGTTGAAAAGGAGAGGAAAAAAAAACCTAGGGGACACGGCCGGTTAGGGACTGTAGGCAAATAGCTGGGCCTGGAGAAAAACGTAAAGTTGAACAGATAACGGAGATATTTTTCACCCAACATTCACACAACTTTCACACATATTTATACTTCCATTTTGTATGAAATATGTGTGAGTCTTGGGTGAAAACATTGATGAATAAGCCCCGTAAGTTGAAGATAATTAGATATTATAGGCAATAGTTCACAAAGAACAAAGTTGAATCATTTTTGTACATTTGGCACCCATAATGACACGGCAATGTATTTACAAAGGAAATGCTCAAATTTGACAAATTCAACATTTAGGCCTCATTCACACAGTGTGAATCAATGCGTTCCCCGCGTGAGGGCCGCGTTTACCCGCACGGAGATGTACAGGTGGATCCCGTCTCATTGATGGCGGTTGGGATGCAGCCAGGGGCGGACTGAGCATTTGGAAACTCAGGCACTGCCCGAGGGTTCGGGGTCAGTAGGGGCCCCATGAGATGCCCCTGGTACCTTTTTCATAGGCTTTTTTTTGAGTTTGGGCAAGGACACAGGGGCCCCATGATCCCCTATTGCCCAGGGGCCCCATGATTTGTCAGTCTGCCCCTGGATGCAGCGATTGCACGGACACGGACGCTGCTCCCAATTTGACAGCCATGCCACTGCACGGCCCCCGAATGCAAACATCAGCCTCCAGCGTTTGGGTTCTTTAACCACTTCTGGTCCACCCGCCTGAAATGTACTGCAAATGGGCGGCCCCTGCAGGCACAGCGACATACTGGTACGCAGGGGTGGAATGACAACTCATGGGGCCCCTGGGCAATAGGAGATCATGGGGCCCCTGTGTCCTCGCCCACACTCAAACCACACCCAAAAAAGCCTATGAAAGGTACCAGGGGCAACTCATGGGGCCCCTTATTGATCCTGGGCCCTCGGGCACTGCCCAAGTTTCCGTATGGTCAGTCCACCCCTGCTGATATGTCGCTGCTTGCTTCCTTGTTTAGGGCGTGCGCAGGCGTGCCCCCACCCCACACCCGCTGTGATTGCACACAGAGTCTGTGAGCAGGTCCTGGCCAATGAATCATGGCCTGGACCTGCTGATCAGTTGTGTTCAATCACAGCCCAGAGCCCTGTGTTGACAGTCAACACAGGGCCTTGTACAGAGGGAACGATCTCTGTCTTCTGTGGAAAGACGAGATGTCGTAGTAAAAGTAGCACGTGATATAAACATTACACATTGTTAGGCACACATTTAACCCCTTGATCACCCTAGATGTTAACCCCTTCCCAGCCAGTGTCATCAGTACAATGACAGTGTATAGTATTATCACTGATCACTGCATCAGTGGCAGTTAGGCTACACTAGCTTTGTAAGCAGGCGTTTTGCAGGCCTCTGAAAATTATACACATGGCAGCAGTGCTGTTCATACTTAGTGTCGTAGCAAAATTGATGCCTTATTGAGTCAGGAGGAGTTGGAGCCTTTCAACGCCTTCCATTCAAGTCTATGGTGATGCTCCTCAAACGCCTGGCAGGCGTTTGCGAGGCGTTTTGGGGCGTTAATATCATTAACTTCATTATAGGCGTTTGTGGCACGGTTTTAACGCTTGGAAAAAGCCTATGAAACGCCTCAAAAATGCGCATTTGGGGAGCGTTTGAGGAGCATACAAAACGCTCCCCAAACACCTGTCTAACACCTGTCAAATGCTGTAGGGGCGTTTGGGAAGAAGTCAAGTGTGAACAAGTCCTTAGTCAGTTCCCCTTATAAAATTTTGCAAATAAAAAATCTTTCTTCATAAATCTTGGCCAAAATGCATTCAGTTATCTTTTTAGTAAAAAAAAAAAAATAACCCAAATTAGTTTATAACCAAAAATTATAATTTTTCAAAAATTGTTTTTACATTTTTATTTTATTTTTTTTATATTATTATTTATGGTTTTTTTTTTAACATACTGTCACCCTAGCAGTACAGTGTCACTATGGTGACACTGTACTACTTGTGGGGGGTGATGAAGTTTTTTTTTTTTTTTTACACTGATTGCTTTTACACCCATAAAGGCTGGGCGCTTAGTCTGACGTCATCACGGTTCCATGCATACTGATCCCACATTTGTACTTCATTTTGCTTCATGAGAGTATGCTTGCTGATCGTATGCACACTATGCGGTGATAAACCAAGCAGTATTACACTAAATGTGGTCTACTTTTTTTTTTTTTTAAGATTCATGTTGGATGAATGTTGGAGTTCCAGAGGTCGATCTGAAGTGAGAATTTTAGGATCTGTGGAAGCCATCTGTGCAGATCCAGGGCAAGTAGTCTGTTTGTTTTGGGGTTTACCAGGTAAGAAAACAAGCATTGTCCGACCTTCCATTTGTGCTGACTGTATTATTCACTGTAAAGGATTTGATTTTTGAGTATTTAATATCCGTTGGTGATTTAGCCAGATAATGCCATGCATGAAGGATGTTATAATTTTTAGAAAATATCTGTGCATGGATATTTGTGTGGGCAGCTTTCTGTTTGCAAACAAACATTTGACATTTTGTTTTGTCATTAGCACAGAGTTTCTTTTGGTTTATAGACATTCATACTAGCTTTGCACATGCTGGCCCCTGGCAGTATTGGTGGCCAATAGCATTCACTTACACTGTACACATGTAAAAGTAGTACAAATGCAGGATTTTGTTGCCAGGAAAATCCAGCCTAAAAAATGTATGCACCATGTGCATGAGGCCTAAACAAACTTTATATCTCTCAGCTCCCAGTTCTACTGTGTTAAAGGTCCCTTGCACACAAAGTCAACTACCTGTAGAACATTCCTTCCTGCGTTTTATTGCCACCAGGTGAGATAGGTACAGCGTCCAGTCCTGCTGGCTACAACCTGTCAAAGTTTATGGCTGGTTGTAGCTGGATGGGGCTGAACGCTGTGCCAAGTAGTACAGGCATTTAGAGCACTTGCGTTCAGGGACAACTGTACAGAATTATGGTCTTCTGTGTTAGAGGCATTCACCCCTGAATTCCACTGACACCACGTATATACACGTTAGTAAACAAATTGGTTATTTTTGTTAATATCTTGGGGTCACCCTGAAATGAGACTTGGACATTGTAGCAAATAACAACATGTTGTTAAGATTTGACAGTGGAAAATTTAGCAGAATGAACAATATGCTGAGGAACAGGGGCGGACTGACCATTTGGAAACTCGGGCACTGCCTGAGGGCCTGGGGTCAGTAGGGGGCCCCATGAGATGCCCCTGGTACCTTTTTCATAGGCTTTTTTGAGTTTGGGCAAGGACACAGGGGCCCCATGATCCCCTATTGCCCGGGGGCCCCATGAGTTGTCAGTCCACCCCTGCTGAGGAATCACTTTAAAAATCACGGCAAACTCAAATCAGACCAGTGTAAACTGCAGCTCTCATCACTATATGAGTCTAGAAAGGCAACCATACGGGTTCTAACACAGCTAGGGACGAAGTTGCCAATGAGATCTTGAAATGTGAAAGCTAAACCTAGGCCTTTGTGAAAGAGGGCTGACAATCTATTGAAAGCTGTGTATAACTGTTTAGTAACTATGTAAAGTCCCTAAATTTAGTCTTCTGCCGGCTACATTGGGGCCCTTAAAGACTTTGGTAAGCTTAAAGATGTAGGGAATTTCTGCATTCAGTGTAACAGTCTTAAAAAACTATGGTTTCCTTGGAACACTGAAGGGGCCAACAAAGGGGTAACTTACTGTAGTATATGTATAGATGTGTACTCTGGCCAACAGGGCTAATGGTGCACAATAGCAAGCAGATGAGGAGCAACAGTAGAGGTATAAATCAATAAATCTTCCTAATGAATATACACAAAGTTAGAAAAAAGGTCACTAATGGGTCACCAGCTTCACTGTATCTGTAGTGGCTGACTTTCTTATGATGAAGGGGGCCCCCTTTAAGATGGTATGGATTCTAGGTGACTCCCTGTGCGAAGTGTCTATGAATGCACACAGGCTGGCTTGTGAGCGACCTCCATAGCAAGCGGCTTGCTATCTGGGCAGATACTGAAGAGGAGGAGCAGAGAGCACCGGAAGGGGACCCCAAAAGAGGAGGTTTAGGGCCACTCTGCAAGTATATAATGTTTGTTTTTTTTAAGAAAATAAAAGAGCTTTTAGAACATTTGTATGTTAAGGCAACCAAGTAGGAAAGTTTCCTCCCCCACCTTCAGGCACTGAAAAAGCTGGTGCTTTCCCAATCCCAGCTTTAGGTCTGAAGATGGCACTGTGCAGTACAAATTGTGTTTTTTAAGTACAACTTTTCATTGCAGGAGATATGTTTTGATAGTGACTGATTTTTATCCACTCCATAGCTTTACTAACTTCCATATTGAAGTGACCAACAGCATTGCTAGGCCCAACCATGTGCCATTGGTTTTCTACCAATGCAAGGCTACTGATGTCGCAGCTCATCCTAGTGTCCTTCGTGATGCACTCATAGTAGCCAGCTAATATAGTATATTCACTTGTTAACCAATCCAGAGGCAGCTGATTGAAAAGACCCATAACCTTGAGATGGGTGCTGTGTAAAAGTCCTGCACCACTCTAGAGGTTGTTAGCTGCTTAGTTTCAAATGCAGGTGTGCCCTTGGAAGTACGTGACCCTTTAAAATGTATTTTCCATTAAACGGGGTCTCCAAACTTTCCAAACATAAGGCCAGTTTACAGTCCTTCAGACATTTGGGGGCTGGACTGTGGCCAGTGACGGCAGAAAATGTCCCAGTGCTTAAGGTGTGGTGTTCAGATGCATAGTGCCTGTGGTCAGTAAGGAGGAGGAATAGTGCCCCGTCATTGGTATTACTAGGAGGAACAGTTCCTCATCGTTGGTATCAGTGGGATGAGTAGTGTTACATCATTGCAATCAGTAGGAGGAAGAATGTCTTGTCATTGGTGTCAGTGGGAGGAATAGTGCCCCATCATTGCTATCAGTGGGAGGAATAGTGCCCCATCACTGGTATTAGTCGGAGGAATAGTGCCCCATCACGGTATTAGTGCCCCATTATTGGTGTCAGTTGGGGGAATTATGCCCCATAGTTGTTGTCAGTGTTAGGTATAGTGGCTCAAATCAGTGGGAGGAATAGTGTCCCAAGGGCTGGATAAAGGCTAGAAAACACCACCTGCCTGGAGTTTGCATGTGCTCCCTGTGCCTGAGTGGGTTTCCTCCGGGTACTCCAGTTTCCTACCACACTCCAAAGACATGCTGGTAGGTTAATTGGATCCTGTCTAAATTTGCCCTAGTATGTGTATGTATGAATGTAAGTTAAGGACCTTACATTGTACGCCCCTTGAGGGTTAGGGATTGATGTAAATGTACAATATGTATGTAAAGCGCTGCATAAATTGACGGTGCTATATAAGTACCTTAAATAATAATAGAAAAGTGCCGCATCTGGCCCTTGGGCTGCAGTTTGAAGACCACTGCCTTAAAACATACAAGGTAATGCTCATGAGTGTCTCTGTTTCCTAGTAGTATATATCCATGGAAAGGCCCAATTACATTGATTGTCACTTTAGTAGGCCCCTGACATGTCCAAAGGTCTGTACAATAACTATGTTTTTGAAAGTTTGCTATTACTTATTAAGATGGTATTAATAAAATATTAAAATTAACGTGTTTCACCTTTATTTTGAACAAACCTGTACTCATCCAGAAAGCTAGATTATGATGAGTTTTCTTCTCCAGATCCTTCCCTGATTGGCTGTGTGACCTTGTAACCCTGTAAATTTATATAGCATCCCGCATATCTGTTGGAACCTGGGGATCAATGGGGAGCAGGGATCTTTTTTAACTTGATTTAACTCTCATTTATTACATTTAATTGATTCATTTTAAGCTTTTTTTAGGAGGAGGATGGATCAGGTCAGGGGAGACTTGATCTATCCCCATTATGCAATCCCTACCAGCAGCAAGATACTTGTATTTACTATGTTAATGTCAGGGCAGGAGCCGAGGAACGGACAGGCAGGCCTAACAATGTAACGCACTGGCTGACGACAACCACCACCCACAGACCGAAGTCCCTCAGGGCGCGGAGTCTAAGTCCCAGGCTGCCCTTCACCAGGGCCCCTGATGGTGGGGATGGACTTGACGCAGCCAGGAACCAGGTCGCGGCCCCCGAGACACCTCAGCTGCGGTAATGGCCGCCGCCAATGGCGTGTAGCTGGTGGAAGAGACAAAAGAGTAGTCAGACAGGCCGAGGTCAACAACAACAGGACAAAACAGTACAGGACAGCAGACGAGAATCACAGGTCACAAGCCGGGTTCAGCAACAGAGGGTCAGATCAAAGGAGAATACAAAGAATAGTCAAGTCACAAGCCGAATCAGATACCAGGAGAGTCACGAGAGTCAGAACAGAGTAATAGCAACACAAAGACACAAGACACAAGTGCAAAGAGCATGTGCCGGCCACAATATATGTCATCAGCCACGCCCCTCTGGGGGATGGGCCTCAGAGACCTGAAGGCATAAAAGGATTCCCACCATGCACAGCAGAATCCAAGATGGACGCCAGCACATGGAGTAACATAACCTCAGGGAAAAGGTAGGACCTTGACAGTACCTCCTCCTCAAGGGCCCCTCCCCCTCCGCGGCTCAACAAAAGGTTTCTGAGGAAAGCGGGTATGAAAAGCGTGGAGGAGGGCAGGAGCATGGACATCCGCGGAAGGAACCCAGGAACGCTCCTCAGGACCATAACCGCGCCAATGAACCAGGAACTGTAATCGACCACGCACCAATCGAGAGTCCAGGATCCGGCTCACCTCATACTCCTCATGACCGTCAACCCGGACAGGACGGGGCCAAGGCAGAGAGGTAGTGAAGCGATTGCAGATCAGAGGTTTCAACAGGGAAACATGAAAGATATTGGAGATCCGCATCCCAGCGGAAGGGCAAGGGCATAGGCCACCGGATTCACTTTGCGGAGAATGCGGAAAGGACCGACAAAACGGGGAGCTAGTTTGGGTGTGGGCACCCGAAGATTGAGGTTGCGAGTAGACAACCACACCCGATCGCCGACCTGGTATGAAGGAGCGGGCAACCGTCTGTGATCAGCCTGGAACTTCTGGCGCTGAGCTGAGTCCCTCAAGGCCCTCTGGATCTGCCCCCATGAAGAACGCAGGGCAGCAAGATGGTTCTCCACAGCCGGAATGTCCTGTGGTGAGAACCTCTCAGGTAATACCGCGGGTTGGAACCCATAGTTGGCCATGAAGGGAGACATCCCGGAGGAGGAGTTGACCGCCGAGTTCCTGGCAAACTCTGCCCAAGGCAGGAGATCGGCCCAATCGTCCTGATGGTCTGAAATATAAAAACACCGAAGGAATTGTTCTAAGGCCTGATTGGAACGCTCCGCAGCCCCATTGGACTGCGGGTGGTAGGCTGAGGAAAAGGAGAGACTAATACCCAACTGGGAGCAGAAGGCGCGCCAGAATCTGGACACGAACTGACTCCCGCGGTCCGAGACAATCACCTTAGGCAACCCATGCAGGTGAAAAATCTCCCTGGAAAAGACCGTGGCCAGTTCTTGCGCTGTTGGTAATTTCCTGAGTGGAATGCAATGGCACATCTTGGAAAACCGATCGACGATCATGAGGATGACCGTATGACCCCGAGACACCGGGAGGTCTACAATAAAATCCATACCTAGGTGTGACCAAGGACGCTCCCCATTGGGAATGGGTTGCAGAAGACCCAAAAGGAGATGCCGTGGAGACTTATTCTGGGCACAGATCGAACATGCCGCTACATAAGCGGCAATGTCGGCACGGAGGGTTGGCCACCAGAATAAGCGAGAGACGACCCAACACAGCTGGTTCTTCCCCGGATGCCCGGCAGTTTTGGCGTTATGGTAGGTACGCAGCAGGCGGGTGCGCAATCCCTCGGGTACAAAACATCTACCCTCCGGCTTCCGGGGAGGAGCATCAGATTGAGCCGCCAAAATCTGCTCCCCAAGAGGAGAGGTCAGACTGGTGCGAATGGCAGCCAGGATCTGATCTGGAGGAATAACTGAGATTGGCTCAGAGTCTTCCGTGGACAACTCAGAGTATTGCCGTGATAACGCATCAGCCCTGACATTCTTGGAACCAGGCAAATATGAAACCACATAGTTGAAGCGTGACAAGAACAGAGCCCATCTGGCCTGGCGGGGTGTCAATCTTTTGGCCTCCGAAAGATAAGTCAGGTTCTTATGATCGGTAAGAATTAGGACCGGAACCGCGGAGCCCTCGAGCAGGTGCCTCCATTCCTTGAGAGCCAGAATGATTGCCAACAACTCCCTATCTCCAATCTGGTAGTTGCACTCTGCAGAGGAAAGCTTCCTGGAGTAGAACCCACAGGGAAGTAGGGGTCCATCGGGCGACCGACGTTGAGACAGGAGAGCGCCTACTCCCGTCTCGGATGCATCAACCTCAAGGACGAAGGGCAATCCAGGATTGGGATGAGACAGTATCGGAGCCGAAGCGAAGGCGGATTTCAGAGCCTCGAAAGCTACGATGGCCTCGGGTGGCCACTCGTGAGGATTACTGTCCTTCTTGGTTAGGTCTGAGAGAGGCTTTGCCAGCGTGGAGAAGTTCCGGATGAACTTCCGATAGTAGTTGGCAAAACCCAAAAAGCGCTGAATGGGGCCGAAGACCATTGGGACGAGGCCACTGCAGAACCGCCGAAACCTTCTGAGGGTCCATGGAGAATCCCTCCGCAGAAATGATGTAGCCTAAAAAGGCAACTTGGGATCGATGGAATTCGCACTTCTCAAGTTTACAAAAAAGTTTGTTCTCACGTAATCGTTGCAGCACCTGCTTGACATCCTGGATATGGGACTCCATGGAGGCAGAGTAACCAGGATGTCATCCAAGTAAACTACCACGCACTGCTGCAACAAGTCACAAAGGACATCATTTATGAATTCCTGAAAAACTGCGGGCGCGTTACACAACCCGAAGGGCATCACCAGGTATTCGTAGTGACCGGTTCTGGTGTTAAACGCGGTCTTCCACTCATCCCCCTGTTTGATCCGTATGAGGTTGTACGCCGCCCTAAGGTCAAGTTTGGTAAAGACTGTTGCCCCCTTAAGGTGGTCGAACAACTCAGTAATCAAGGGAATCGGGTAGGCATTCTTAGTGGTGATTCGATTAAGACCCCTATAATCAATGCAAGGCCTCAATTCACCACCCTTCTTCTTTACAAAGAAAAAGCCCGCTCCTGCTGGGGAAGTAGACTTACGAATGTGCCCCCGGGAAAGCGCATCCGCAACGTACTCCTCCATGGCCTTATTCTCCGCAACCGAGAGAGGATACACCCTGCCACGCAGAGGAGTGGCACCGGGTTGCAAGGATATGGCGCAGTCGTAAGGACGATGAGCAGGTAAGGCACCAGCGCGTACCTTATCAAACACGTCCTGGTACTCCCCATAATCAGTGGGCAACGCAGAGTCCGAGGAGGCACACAACACCTTAACCGGCCCACGGATGCACCCGGCCCCACACTGTGGAGACCACGAGAGAATCTCGGCTGTTTGCCAATTGAAGGTTGGATTGTGCATCTGGAGCCAGGGATACCCCAAAACCACCGAATAGTGCGGAGAAGAAATCACCTGGAAACAGGCCAACTCCCTGTGAACAGCCCCAATAGCTACTTCCACTGGCACAGTCTCGTGGGTAACCTGCGGTGGTTGCAGGGGCCTGCCATCTATCGCCTCGAGAACCAATGGGGTAACTCGAGCCTGCAGGGGAATGGAGTGCTGGGCAGCAAACGAGCTGTCCATAAACAACCCGCCGGCCCCAGAATCTACCAAAGCCTGGGCCGTCACCGAGCCCTCCGCCCAAGAGAGAGGACAACGGTGATCATTGGCTTATCTCTGCGGAACGCCGGGGACGAGGAGACTCCACCCAAGATCTGTCCCCAACAGGATCTCAGGTGCGAGCGTTTCCCGGACGGACAGGACAGGACTGCCGAAAGTGCCCACCAAGACCACAGTACAGGCAGCGACCCTCCCGACGCCGAGCGGCCCGCTCTCCCTCGGAAAGGCGCGCAAACCCCAGCTGCATGGGCTCACCACCAGACAATCTATCCCCAGGAGGCGTGGGAGGAGAGGGAGGAACGGGTGGGACAGAAAACGCAGGTGCCAGTCGATTGGAAGGCCTCCGCAGGTGTTCCTTGAGTGAAGGCCTCTCCCTGAGCCTGGTGTCAATCAGGATCAGGAAAGAGATGAGCTCCTCCAACACCACAGGCAGTTCCTTAGCTGCAATCTCGTCCTTCAGTGTGTCAGAAAGACCATGGGGAAAACGCAGCCACCAGAGCCTCATTGTTCCAACCGACCTCTGCCGCCAGGGTACGAAACTCTATGGCGTACTCGGCCACGGTCCGTGAACCCTGATGCATGGTCATGAGCAGCTTGGCCGCCGAGGCGGAACGAGCCGGTACGTCGAATACCCTACGGAAGGCATCGACAAAACCGGAAAAATCTTGAATCACCGGGTCGTTCCTCTCCCATAAGGGATTTGCCCAGGCCAAGGCCTTGTCTGAGAGTAGTGAAATTAGGAACCCAACCTTTGACCTCTCAGACGTGAAGGCGTGGGGTATTAATTCAAAATAAATACCCACCTGGTTGAGGAACCCACGACACTGACTCGGCTCACCCCTAAAGCGCTGTGGAAGAGGGGCAGAACCAGTCATACCTCTGGGTGCCGCTGATGCAGCCGCCGAGGTGGTGGACGCAAAAGGCGGAGAAGCAGCGGGAGAGACCACCGGAGTGACTACCGGCCTAATAGCACCAGGAGCAAGGTGTGCAGTGCGTGCAAGCAGAGTTTGCAATGCCTGAGCGAACTGATCCAACAGGTGATCCTGTTGATCGAGTCTGGCGACTAGCGTTGGGAGCGAAGGCGTGCCTGCACCGTCAGGGTTCATGGCACTTGTGTAATGTCAGGGCAGGAGCCGAGGAACGGACAGGCAGGCCTAACAATGTAACGCACTGGCTGACGACAACCACCACCCACAGACCGAAGTCCCTCAGGGCGCGGAGTCTAAGTCCCAGGCTGCCCTTCACCAGGGCCCTGATGGTGGGGATGGACTTGACGCAGCCAGGAACCAGGTCGCGGCCCCCGAGACACCTCAGCTGCGGTAATGGCCGCCGCCAATGGTGTAGCTGGTGGAAGAGACAAAAGAGTAGTCAGACAGGCCGGGGGTCAACAACAACAGGACAAAACAGTACAGGACAGCAGACGAGAATCACAGGTCACGAGCCGGGTTCAGCAACAGAGGGTCAGATCAAAGGAGAATACAAAGAATAGTCAAGTCACAAGCCGAATCAGATACCAGGAGAGTCACGAGAGTCAGAAACAGAGTAATAGCAATACAAAGACACAAGACACAAGTGCAAAGAGCATGTGCGGGCCACAGGCTTATATGTCATCAGCCACGCCCCTCTGGGGGATGGACCTCAGAGACCTGAAGGCATAAAAGGATTCCCACCATGCACAGCAGAATCCAAGATGGACGCCAGCACATGGAGTAACATAACCTCAGGGAAAAGGTAGGACCTTGACAGTTAAGTGAGCAATATATGCCTTTTGCAGTAATATTTTACTGCAGGTGTACAGTAGATGGGGGAAAGGCTAGATTAGCATCACAACACTTCTTTTTTTAAACACAAAGACATGTTAAATTGCTCTTAGCAAGCTCTCTATAGCATGTTAGCCATCCCAGAAACTGATTGATTCAGCCCCTGGACTACAGCAAAGCTGTCACTGGCAGCTGGTAATTCCAGCACTAAAGACCTGCAGAGCCCCTGACACTCACTACCACAGTGTATAACCCAGTGTGCTCCAAACCTGAACGGACGTCTGGAGGACATCAGCCTCACACTAAGCTCTGCTGGGCAGCATGCAAACAATGGATTAGGTTCTGGGACCCACATCAGATGCTTTGCCCAGCCCTTGGGGAAGTCAGGCTGAGCAGATCCCAATGTAGATGGGCTTAGACAGGGGCGGACTGACCATTCGAGAACTCGAGCACTGCCCGAGGGCCCGGGGTCAGTAGGGGGCCCCATGAAATGCCCCTGGTACCTTTTATAGGCTTTTTTTGGGTGTGCTTTGAGTGTGGGCAAGGACACAGGGGCCCCATGATCCCCTATTTCCCGGGGGCCCCATGAGTTGTCAGTCCGCCCCTGGGCTTAGACAACCTTTTATAAAGTCTTATCAAGCCTTCACAAATCATTTGAGACCAAACTTAAGTCTGGACCAAACTCAAAATGGAACTTCACAGAAAAAATGGAAGTTTTGCATTTCCTTGCTCTTCTCTTCTACTTTTGGAACATCTTTTTTGGGGGGAAGGAAACGAGAAGGTACCTAGTTTTGATACCCGCTCCCCAGTTCCACTAGAATCACCTGAATCCACCGAAAGTTCACCCTCATCCCTGCCTGCAACCTTCTGGGACACATCACAGGTCCCAGAAGGCTGCGGGACCATTCACACAGCACAGTGCAGTTCCTGCTTGCAAAGTGGGAGCCTGAGCTTCACATCTGGCTTTCCAAACTGAGAATGGCCCAAAGACCCATGATGGACTGGCCTGGGTGAGTACAGCACGGGAACCTTGGACTGGTAAGTGTCCTATTATTAATTAAAAGTCAGCACCTACACTATTTATAGCTGCTGACTTTTAATTTTTTTAAAATGACTGGAGAACCACTTTAAAGTGGAACTTTAGTCAGAAAATTAAGTCTTGCTAGATCACTTCAGGCTGACCCCTTTTGTAGGTATAACTATGTAAAACATTACAAATAAGTGCCTATATTGTTAAAAATCCAGTAATATACTGGGTCACCCTGCTCTGCACATGCTCAGTTGCTCTCTATTTTTAGGCACCGTGCCGAATTTGTAGAGGCCGGTCTGCTGACAGTATAAAGATTAAAGCGGAACTAACCTGTTGATTTAACAATTTCAAAAAATCAGTTACAATCTCAGAAAGCTAGCAATGCTAACTGTCACATTTGCTTGTGCTCTAAACCAAGCTGTCTAACCATCAAATGACTGGTGTTATATCTGATCATATGTGCAGCACCATGGCAGTTGCAGATCAAACAGATGGTAGCTTCCCTGGCTGAAAAGGATAGGGGGTTTAGTTATGCTTTAACTGCTGCTCAGGGCTCTGGGCTTCAACAAAATGGCAGCCTCCAGCAAGGAGAAACAGGAACAACGCTGGAGGCAATTTACAATACGCACACTAATTTTGGTAGCATCATTATCGGAATGTAAAATGTATGTTCCTTCCTAAAGAACATTACTTTTTATCAATTGTTATGAGTAAAGTTCCGCTTTAAGTCCTGCTAGATCACTTCAGACTGGCCCCTATTGGAAGTATAGCTATGCCAAACATTAACAATAAGTGTCTATACTGTTTAAAATCCAGTAGTACACTGTCTCACCCTGCTCTGCACATGCTCAGTTGCTCTCCAAATTTAGGCATTTTAGGCACTGCCGAATTTGTCGAGGCTGATCTGCTGACAGCCTTAAATCGGAATTAATCCCTTCTATCTTTTACAGCCAAGGAAGCTGCTTCTGTTTGATCTGCAACTGCCATGGTGCACCACATGTGATCAGTTCAGCTTTGAGACCAGCCATTTGATGGTTTGATAGTTTGGTTGAGGACACAAGCTAGTGTGACAGTTAGCAATCCCGGCATTCCAGGAATGTAACTTTTTTTTTTTAAAACCATTAAATCGATGGGTATAGTTCCACTTAATGATTTACTGCTGTTCAGGGGCTCTAGGCTTCAACAAAATGGCACCCTCTAGTAAGAAGAAATAGGAGCAATGCTGAAGGCAATTTACAGCATAAACTAATTTTGGTTGCATAATTATTAATGCGAAATGTATGTTCCTTGCTAAAGAACATTATTTTTTAGCAAGTTGTTATGGATAAAGTTCCACTTTGTTCATTTTTCATTTCAGAAGCTTACAACCACGTTAAATCCTTTCGTTTATATGCCGTAACACTTGGAACACTTCCAAAGCACTCTTGTTGCCTCTGCTAGCCTATATAAAACGATGTGCATCATATATATGTTTTAGCTAAGCAGATTTAGTCTGTGCTAAAGCTGCCATATTTAAATAATCACTAACCATTTTCTTGTTTGCAAACAATATGTCGGGCCTCTATTATCTCAGCATGCAAGCTTGTCACTCGCAGTGAAGTTTCCATTAGTGGCTGTCATAGTAATTGATTGTAACATGTCACTTTTATGACAGATAAACAGCACTTTATACAGAAGCGAAAAGAGAAAATTGAAGAAGAAAATTGAAGAAGTTACTGTTATTACTGAGTTTCTTTTTTTAACAGAAAAAGGTTAGTAAAAAAATAAGCAAAAAGTTCAATTCTACCATTTTGTGAATGCATTGATAAAAGTGGCATACTTACAATATCATTTCTTTTATTTAAAGTGTATGTAAACTTAAACAGTAAACGTCTTCTGTTTTTTTTCATGTTGTTCTATTAAATATACACTGTGTTGCCAAAAGTATTGGGACGCCTGCCTTTACATGCACATGAATGTTAATGGCATCCGAGTCTTAGTCCGTAGGGTTCAATATTGAGTTGGCCCACCCTTTGCAGCTATAACAGCTTCAATTCTTCTGAGAAGGCCGTCCACAAGGTTTAGGAGGGTGTCTATGGGAATGTTGGACCATTCTTCCAGAAGCACATTTGTGAGGCCAGGCACTGATGTTGGACGAGAAGGCCTGGCTTGCAGTCTCTGCTCTAGTTCTTCCCAAAGGTGTTCTATCGGGTGGAGGTCAGGACTCTGTGCAGGCCAGTCAAGTTCCTCCACCCCAAACTTGCTCATCCATATCTTTATTGACTCTATATGGACCTTGTTTTGTGCACTGGTCCCCAAACTGTTCCCACAAAGTTGGAAGCATGAAATTGTCCAAAATGTCTTGGTATGCTGGTGCCTTAGGAGTTCCCTTCACTGGAACTAAGGGGCCAAGGCCAACCCCTGAAAAACAACCCCACACCATAATCCCTCCTCCACCAAACTTTACACTTGACACAATGCAGTCAGGCAAGTACCGTTCTCCTGGAAACCACAAACCCAGACACGCCTATTGGATCATCACTCCAGAGAACACGTCTCCACTGCTGTAGAGTCCGGTGGCGGCGTGTTTTACACCACTGTATCCAACGCTTTGCATTGCACTTGGTGATGTAAGGCTTGGATGCAGCTGCTCGGCCATGGAAACCCATTCCATGAAGCTCTCTATGCACTGTGGTTGTGCTAATCTGAAGGCCACACAACGTTTGGAGGTCTTTAGCTATTTACTCTGCAGACAGTTGGCGACTTCTGCACACTGTGCACTTCTGCATGCGCTGACCGCGCTCTGTCATTTTACATGACTTACCACTTTGTGACTGAGTTGCTGTTGTTCCCAGTTGCTTCCACTTTGTTATAATGCCACTAACAGTTGATGGTGGAATTTTTTAGTAGCAATGAAATTTCATGGATGAACTTATTGCACAGGTTGCACCCTATCACGGGTACCACGCTTGAATTCACTGAGCTCCTGAGAGCGACCCATTCTTTCACAAATGTTTGTAGAAGCAGTCTGCCTGCCTATGTGCTTGATTTTATTCACCTGTGGCCATGGAGGTGATTGGAACACCTGAATTCAATGATTTGGAGTGGTGTCCCAATACTTTTGGCAATATAGTGTATCATTGAAAGTATTTAGGTATAACTGTTCTGTGATTGCAAAAGAAAAAAACATTGTCTATGCCAGAAATCTCAGAAGTTGTTAACATCATGTACATTCTGCCTTTGCTGTTAGAAGTTAGGGTTGTTACCAGCTTTCTATCTGGATTACAGAACACCCCTCCCCATGTTATGAAGACGAAAAAGGGGTTTTGTAGTCATAGCACACTTCCTGTCTAAGGGAGACAATGTTTGGAGGAAGGTGCTGCTTATTCAGCTGCCGCTGACAAAACTGGAGAGCAGTGGTTCCACTCTGTCGGGTGAGCAAGGCATAGGAGTGAGACAGTGGCTGTCAGATTGCTGACTCACTTCTGTTTTTGGGAAAAAACACAGCAGTCATGTGAATGCTGTTGCCTACTTCTGCCGCCAGGGAAGCCTATTAGAGGACTGGTATGTCCTCTGTACAGGACACCTGGTGGCCATCTTGGGAGAGCCCTATTCTGATTGGACACATGTTCTTCTAAGATTTCGGTGGCCATCTTGAACCCAGAGGGGATATATATGTATGTAGAGAGAGAAACCCGACTTGTCAGGGACAGTTAGGTTTAGTGCAGAGAAAGGCTCCTACTATATATGGATAGTTTGGGGACCATCTGGATGCCACCCTAACGTTCTGGAAAAATCACCCTCGTTCTGCTGTTAAAGTATTGGCATAACCATATGCTAGTGGAGTAGGAAAAAAGCTAAGACACCTCCATCATCTGTCTCCTGTTGCATGGCCATGTGGAATCCTTCTTAAAGTGGAACTAAAGACACACATACTGTACTTACTTTAATCTCAATGGTCCATCACCTGTGATATCCATTGCTGGTGCCAGTGTCCTCTCTCTTGTTTCTTCCAGTTGCCGGTCTTCAGCTGCTTCGATTGGTTGGCACGGGATGATGGCATGTGCAGGAGTGAAGTCAACCCAGCACAATGCCATACACAGCTCAGTGTACATTCCGCAGAGGATTGCAAATAGACAGGTAAGTATACTTTATTGCAGAAGAGGCATTGCATGTCTTTTCTTTAATAAATACCCTGCCTGTCCACAATTTTTTACACAAGCCAAGAGAAAACAGTGCCTCTAAGTGCACACTTCTCAAAAACTTTAATAATAAATAAGAAAGGGAAATCACATTTGAGTAAATTTAAACAGGCTTATCAGTAAAGTAGGTAACCGGACTGCCTGTCCACTGTCGCGGGATGACGCTGCAGTATAGTAGTAGGGCCTGTGTGGATGAGGAAGCTGGCTGGAACCTCTGCTGGTCTGTGAAGCCTGCTTGGAGCGCAGCCGTGAACCACAGCATCCAGCGTCATAACGTCACCCAAATGCAACGCGTTTCTGAGCATGCATGAGGTCCACAACAGGCTTGAGCACTCCTTTCTCAATGGCTAGATTTACATGAAGCCTTACAGGGGGAGCAAAGGGTGTGAATAACAATAAGGAGAAGTGGCATAAGAAAAGAAAAAGAAGAATAAC